CAGCTCTAGAGAAAAGAGTGAGTGAATTAATTTCCTTTACCTTATTTTTTTTGACAATTTCTATTTATGTTCATGAATGTAGGTGTCTTAAAATTGTTATTACATTACATATTCATTTACTATGCCTATGTGCTATGACACTAGTGTGGTGTCAGAGATGGGAAGAGTTTGGTTCTCTCCTTCCACTTTGTAGGTCTGGAGGATTGAACACAGGTCCTCAGGTTTGGTAGCAGGTACTCTCCCAACCCCAGCGATCTCATTGGCCCAGTGTGTGGTTGTAATTTTGTTTGCTTGCATGTATGTGCAACTGTGTGCATTTGAAGTACCCACAGAGGCCAGAAGAGGGCACCAGATCCCCAGGAACTGGAGTTATAAGCAATGACAGCCACTATGTGGGTGCTGGGAATCAAAACCAGCACCTCTGCAAGGACAGTCAGTGCTCTTAACCACTAAGCCGTCTCTCCAGCCCCTCCCTTTACCTTTAAAAAATTATTTATTGGGGGCTGGAGAGACAGCTCAGAGGTTAAGAGCACTGGCTGCTCTTCCAGAGGTCATGAGTTCAATTCCCAGCAACCACACGGTGGCTCACAACCATCTGTACTGAGATCTGGCGCCCTCCTCTGGCGTGCGGGCATACATCAAGGCAGAATGTTGTATACATAATAAATAAATAAATCTTTAAAAATAAATAAATAAATAATTTATTTATTATATACACAATATACAACATTCTACCTGCCTGTATGCCTAGGAATTAAACTCAGGGCCTCTGGAAGAGCAGCCAGTGTTCTTAACCTCTGAGCCATCTCTCCAGCCCTAGCGTTTTGTGTTTGTGTTCTAGACAAGCACTCTGCTACTGAGCCATACCTTGGTCCAGGAATCAAAGTTTAAATCCATAATCGGGCAACTTATGATACCGGATCACTGTTATTTTCAGCAACCTATAGAAATATCAGAAATAGGGGCTGGAGAGATGACTTAGTGGTTGAAACCGCTGATTACTTTTCCATAAGACCCAGGCTCGACTCCCAGCATCCACAGGGCAGCTCACACCTTCGTGACTCTAGTCCCAGGGACTCCTGTTAAGATCAAAGATGGAAGGATAAAGACCATTGACCTATATCATCAAGATCACCACCCAAATCAAATTAAGATTAACAATTAATTAAAGCCAGCTATTTATCTATTTATTTTAATTTCTTTCCTCTTGACTACACAGGCTGCCTCCCACTAAGGTGAGCTCTGAGAGGGTCAGCACTGGCTGTGGAGGAAGAGAAGGTTTTCCTCTCTCAGGAGCAGCGGGTTTCCAAATGGGGGATTTGGCAAGCAAAAGAGGTGGGGTTACAGAAGCAGAACCTAAGCTAACAAGTCAGTCATAATGATCTCCTGAAACAGAGACATGGTTGTCATTCCCGGAACAGGCAGTATAAAACCATCTGTAGTTAAAGTTACAGGTGGGGCCTAGCCCAATCCTTGAGAAACAGAGGTTTAATCATAAACAGTAATGAGCTTAATTTGCCTTTACTATTAGATGACTTTTAAGCCTAAAATGGAGGCAGGCTGGTTATTCAATTGAGCACCCTCTTTTGGCCTCCGTGGACACCAGACAGGCAAGTGGTTATACAGACATACATGCATGCAGGTAAAATACCCACGAACATTTTAAAAAATATCAAGCTGCATGGTGAAGATTGCCACGACTCCATGCAAAGGCTGCATGCAAATTTCTGAGATGTTTCATTAGGAAGGAGAGAGAGGGAAGAAAGTCTGGACCACCAAAAATTCAAGGGCAATGTCCATGTGGCTATGCAAGACAAAGCTTCAATAGCGCCACCATGTGGTCAAAATGCTAATTGTAGGAGAACCATGATCACTAGAATTTCACACAGGTGGAGCCACAGGAGGAAGAACAGAGGAAGGAGGTTTGCCCTAGAGCAGGACTTCAGGCAGGAGACTTCAAGTCTGTCATTCTCTGCAGACCTCTGTCTTTTTCAAGAGATATGTGTGTTAGAGGAACTGGGGTTAAGGGTTCCACAGAGTCAGCAAAAGAAGAAAAATAAAGTTAAATGCAAATCATCCTGCAGCAGCTTGCAATAAATTTGTTCCTAGTATTATGATATAGACAAATATTTTAGATTTTATTTATTTACTTATTGTTTTTTTTGGGACAGGGAATTTCTGTGTAGCCCCAACTGTCCTGGAACATCCTCTGTAGACCAGGCTGGTCTTGAACTTATAGAGATCATCTATCTGCACCTGCTTCCTGAGGGCTGTTTTGTGTTTTTGAGACAGGGTTCCACTATAGCCTAGGTTGGTCTACACTTGACCATATAGGTCTTAAACTCTCAATAATTCTCCTCTTTCAACCCCTTCCGTACTGTTATTATAGACATGCTACCAAGCCCAGATTTCTCCTTGGTGCTTTAAAAAAAATATTATTGTTATTCTTTCTGTTATTATCATCATTGGTGTATGTGTGTGTGTGTGGAGCGTGTGTGTGCATGTATATATGTATAGCGTGTGTATGGTGTGTGTACATGCATGGTATGTTTATGTGCATGTATGTATGGTATGTGTGTGCATGTATGTATTGTGTGTATATGTGTATATGTATAGTATGTATGTATGTGTATATATGGTATATGTATGTGTGTGGTGTTGGCAGGTTATGAAACAACTTTTGAAAGTTGGTTCTCTCTTTCTACTATGGAATTGGGGGATTGAATTTAGGAAATGTGGGAAAATGGTTTATGTGTTCTTATATCCACGCTCTTTGCAGAGTGACTTTAGGGGTCTTGCCTTTAAGAGGCAGAGATTCTGTCCTTATTCCAGGAATTTGAGCTGGCCTGTCGACCAGATAGATGATCAATGGAATTAAGCAGGAGTGTGCTACTTTCCTTCCTGACTGCATACTCAAGAGGCCTTGAAAGCTGGTGGTGGCATACACCTTTAATCCCAGCAATGCAGGAAGGTCTCAGAGTCTGAGAACAGTCTGGATGGTGGTGGCACACACCTTTAATCCCAGCAATGCAGGCAGGTCTCAGAGTCTGAGACCAGTCTGGATGGTGGTGGCACACACCTTTAATCCCAGCAATGCAGGCAGGTCTCAGAGTCTGAGAACAGTCTGGTTTATACAATGATTTCTGGCTACACAGAGAAATCCTATCTGGGAAAGAAAAACAAACTAATCAGAAAACAAAAACAGCTACCAAAACCCATGCTAAACTTATCTTGCCAAGGGTTCCTAGAAGCTTAGGTGACCTTATGTCCTGCATTTAGCCATGAGCTTGGCATCCCCAGCTCAGCACCATGGAGAAAGGGACATGCCCAAAGGATAAGAGCTTCAAGCTTGGGTGCAGCACCATTAGGTTAGGTGACATGCTATTCTGCCAGCTCCTTCCCAAGTGTCTCAGCTTCTTACAGAAGATTTTCTGGAAGGGGGGAATGGAGAAGGTGGATTTTGCAGATGGCAGAAGTTTCTGGAATGTGGGACAATAGCAGTGTGTGTGTGTGTGTGTGTGTGTGTGTGTGTGTGTGTGTGTGTGTGTATCCTGGCCATCGCTATGGTTCCATACCTAGAACTATCTCAAGCAGCCTGGCTTAACCTTAGGGTTAAATCTTCACCATGTGTGGAAGATGCTCAATCCATGTCTGTGGAGTGACAGCTTCGTGCAGAGACGCCAGGGAATACACGACCTCTAGGCTGTTAATGGATCGGAACCTGAAGTCGAAGGTGTGTGTGGACAGAGCTGAGGGGGGAGTGGGGGCTGTGACCAGGCTGATGTCTGGGTCCTTCACCTCATCAGCCAGGGAAGCTAATGGGCTCAATCCCGGAGTTAAGGTCTGTATGTAGGAGAGAAGGGAGAGACAGGGAGGAGAGAATGTGAGACATACTGAGGGGTGGAGAGACCCAGAGGTAGAAAGAGGAAGCAATGAGGAAGGATGTGGGAGGGGAACACACGAAGAGGCGAGAACTGAGACATCAAGGAGTTGATGAGTACAGCCTACAAAACAAACGAGACCAAATTTGGAGGCAGAGAGGGGAAACTTTTTTGTTGTGCTTTTGTTTTAGACAGTCTTGTTATGTAGCCCAGGATAGCCTACGGAGTGGTGGAATTACAGGTCCGTGCCACCGTGTCCAGGAGAAAACTTTTCACAAAGACTTGGGACAGCCCCAGTGAGCCATGCCAAGTTGCTGGAGCAATTACATGTCTGCAAAACTCCTGGCAGAATCCTATGACCAGTCACCCACCTCATTCATTGCTGTTGCTACTGCCACATCTTAAAATTTATTTTCTGTTTAGTGTGTTGGTGATTTCCCTGCAGCTAAGTCTGTACTCCAGGTACATACCCCCAGTACTTGTGGAGGGGAAGGGTGTCAGGCATCCTGGAACTGAAATTGCTGTGGTGCTGGGAATTGAACCCAGGTCCTCTGAAAGAGCAGTCATTGCTCTTTACTGCTGTGCCATCTCTCCAGCACCTTTTTTTTTTTTTTTTTTGGCAGACAACTAATCAAAATAAGGATTATGGCAGATAAATTGCATTTGTGGTCCTCAATTAACAGCTGTCTATCCCATAATTTCATAATGGTTTTTCACTCTATATCCGAGATTTCACCATGCCAAATGCAGACAGGAAAATACTAAGCTTGGTACAGGCAGACATGAGAGAAAGAGGCTGTGTGTTCTTACAACAGAGGTCATCCTCGTGGCAGGACATAAGAGACACGTGCCAAAAAGTGTCATTGAAGACCATCAAAACCAGTCATCCCCCAACTAACCCGCTAACTATGGGAGATGCACCCATATGCCCAGGGAAGCTAATCTAGCCAGATCTGCAAGGTCCCTGGGCAATCCTGAGATTCGGGGGACATAAGAAATGGTCCCCAGTTTTAAGCCCTAAATGTAGAGTGGCTTATTACACAGTAGCAAGTAGGCGATGCAAGAAGCATGGTGATTCCTGTGTGCTGATGTCGAGGCGACTAAATACCCAGAGGCAAGAAATGTCTGCAAGTTTTATTTGTAGAGTCTGGTAAACTCGACCCATGAAGCTGCAAAAAGTGTTTAGAGAGCATGTTGGTGCCGTGGGGGCTGTGGATGAAAACAGTTCCCTCTGCCCCATCCTAAGGCTGGAAGTGGCTGGGAAGGCAGTGGCGAGGCAATCACGGGGTAAGTGGAAGCCCGGGTGGCCCGGCTGGAGTCCAGCCCGACTTCTGCCTGTCTCAGGCCCTGGGGTCGTACACCCGGCCCATGAAGACCGGGAACTTGTGTTGCTGGTCCCAGAGCAGGAAGAGGAAGGGTTGCCGCACCTCAAAGATGATTAAGTTTCGGGCCACAGAGACGGCTGAGGCCGCAGCGGCCTCCACGCCCGTCTCTGTCAGCTCTAGCACCGTCTGGTGCTTCATGGAAGACACCTGAAGATCTGGGTCGTCGGTCAGCCCACACAGGTTGAGATCGTCAGAGAAGTCAAAAAATTCTAGGACGAAACAGGAGAAAAGCAAAATCAGAGGTCAGCAGGAGCCGGCGGTGGTGGCACACAGCTTTAATCCCAGAGAGGCAGAGGAGGGTGGATCTCTGTGAGTTCAAGGCCAGCCTGGTCTACAAGAGCTAGTTCCAGAACAGCCAGGGCTACACAGAGAAACCTTGTCTTGGAATAACAACAACAAAACAAACAAACCGGGGATAAGCAGGGAACTCTTGGTTGGTGGAAATTCTGTTCTTAAATTTCCTGGGTTAGTCTCAAATTCCTCCAGCATCTTCTCAGTCTCTAAGTCATTGCCTCCTGGTCTTCTAAGCGGGAACCCCTGTTATCAGGCCCAGCCATCAACCACTCTCAAGATGCATGGGGCTGGAGATATGGCTCAGAGGTTAAGAGCACTGCCTGCTCCTCCAGAGGTCCTGAGTTCAATTCCCAGCAACCACATGGTGGCTCACAACCATCTGTAATAAGAACTGGCACCCCTTCCGGCTTGCGGGCACACAGGGAAGAAATGCTGTACACCTAATTAAATAAATAAATATTAAAAAAAAAAGATGCCTCACTCTCTGCCCCCCACCAACTCTCCCCTGAAAAAATGGCATATTGCTTCCTTGTCTCCAAGGACTTTGAGAAATAGAGATGGATAATATGCTATAAAATGAGATCATGTGAGGGTATAATGCTATACACTGAAATATACACTGACAGAATTATATACTGACAGAAATGCTGTATACTGAAATATATACTGACAGAAATATATACTGGTCTCTGCCCTAAATTCCTGACAAGAACTCCTAGAACCCTAACATTTCCTTAGCAATGGACGTGCTGGCAGCGCATTTTGTCTTAATATTTAAGGTTTTTGTTTGTTTGTTTGTTATTTTTGTGTTTTTTTTTTTTTTTTTTTTTTTTTTTTTTTTTTTGTTTTTTTTTTTTTTTTTTTTTTTTTTGAGACAGGGTTTCTCTGTGTAACCGCCCTGGCAGAACTCTCTCTGTAGACCTCCTGCCTCTGCCCAAGTGCTGGGATTAAGGGGTGGATTACCACCACCACCCAGGTGATATTTGTCTTTTGATTTCTGTTCTAAAGCCCTCGCAATTCCTCAGCAGCAGGAGTAACAGGCATCTTAGTCAGTCTGTTATTTGGCTTCTGATGCTGGTTTTAGGAAATCAGGTTATATATTAGGTGATGAAGTTGTCAAAACAGGAAATGAGCAACAGATCTAGCTAGGGATGACGTCAAAGGTTAGAAAGGGGTGTTTCTAAAGTCTCCCCTAAACTCAGAAACCCCAGATTCATACATATCTAGATGGATCTGAGTTTCTTCTGTGAAGTGACTGATTAGTGAATGTGGCCAGACAGTGGTGGTGCACAGCTTTAATCCCAACACTTGGGAGACAGAGGCAGGCAAAACTCTGTGAGTTCAAGGCCAGCCACGTCTACAGAGTGAGTTCTAGGACAGCTAGGACTGTTTCACAGAGAAACCCTGTCTCGAAAAACAAACAAACAAATTAGTGAATGTGACCAAGAAGTGAATGTCCACAGTCCATCTGGGTCACCTGTTCCAGTGAAACCTAGTATAAATATCCCAGAGAGCTAGAGATCTGGACTGCTGTTTGGGCTTGACTCCAATTAGTTCACAGGTAAGACATGTACACTTTAGGTAAGTCACAGATAGTCTCTGAGCTTCAGTTTTCTCAGTGACCTCATGGGATAAAGCCTGGTCCTTTAGCTCACGTGGTTGAGGAGTAAGTTTCTGATACAAGTGAAGAAGAACATCTAGCATGATGGCAACATTGTAGCACCATCTCCCCCCTGCTTCTGGTGGCCAGGACTCACCCATCTTCTCCATGATTGACAGCATATCTTGGTTGCTCTTCACTTTGACCTGAGGCATCACCAGATAGGTGGGCTGGTACCTGGACAGCTCCAGCTTCTTCATGACGGCCTTAAAGACAGTGGGGGTGAGAGCCTCCTCCATGTCTTCAAGTTTGTGCTTCTGGCTCTGAGGCACCATGATGACAAATGTCAGGTTGTGAGAGAGCTGCAGCTGTCCCACCTGGAGAGAATGAGATACATTGTATGAGCTCTCCCGCCCCAGCTCTTTCCTGGCCTGCCCCACCAGGTGCCCTGTTCCTCAAGACTGTTTCAACAAGCACCAGCCAAACCTGACTGCCATGATGTGCCATCAAGTGGCATCAAGTGGGGATGCCAGTCAGTCAGACTAAAGTACACCAGTTCTGGTGAGAGCCCGAGGGATGAGCACAAGTTTTGAATCATACCCTGACTATCTATATAATAAGAGAGTAGGATTTGGCTCCTCCCTTCCTCCTTCCTCCCTCCCTCTCTACCTTCTTTCCTCCCTCCCTCCCTCCCTCCCTCCCTCCCTCCCTCCCTCCCTTCCTTCCTTCCTTTAATAGAGTCTTATGCAATCCTGAATGGGTTTAAATTAACAGAAGATAATCCTAAAATATCTTCTTCATCCTCCTCCTCCTCTCTCTCTCTACCCCCTTGTTTTTCCAGACAGGGTTTCTCTGTATGACAGCCCTGGCTGCCCTGGAACGTGCATTGTAGACCAGGCTGGCCTTGAACTCACAGACTTCCACCTGCCTCTGCGTCCCAAGTGCTGGGATTAAAAGCATGAGCTGCCACCGCCCAGCTGACCCTAAACTTTGGATCTTTCTGTTTTCACCTCCTACAAGCTAGGATCACAGGTCTATACTACCACAGTTAGTTCTATGAGGTGCCGAGAATCAAACCCACAGCCTGGCAAAGCGCTCTACCAACTGTGCTTGAGATGCAGTTTATTTAAGCCCTATTTCTTTTATACTTTAAATTATCTCTAGCTTGTTTCTAATATGGTGTCAGAGTCTGGGACCAGCCAGGACCTAAATTATTTCTCGTACCAGGGTAGAGGTATGGGAGTAAAAATACAACTTACACAACTATATTGGGAGGGAGTTTTTAGGGATCCTTTATGACGTCCTGAATTTATATTCTGAAAACCACCTGCTTTTATCATCCAAACAACTTTTATATCAAAAAGTAAACTGAGGGAGAAGTTCATTAGCATTCTGTTTCCTGGGTAGTCGGGAAGAATAACTTAGGTCACGTCCATAACTAACTATGCCTGCTCTGTCACACAGACTAAGAAACACCTCTTCCCCAGGCAACCTCCTAAGTTACAGTAGAAGGAGCAGAATGACTTTAGCATATCCTGACCATTTGTTTAGGATGGTGTTAGTTTGGCTCACTATTAAAGGCTAGGCGAGGGCTGGAGAGATGGCTCAGAGGTTAAGAGCACTGGCTGCTCTTCCAGAGGTCCTGAGTTCAATTCCCAGCAACCACATGGTGGCTCACAACCATCTATGATAAAATCTGGTGCTCTCTTCTGGTGTGCAGGCAGAATGCTGTATACATAATAAATAAATCTTTAAAAAAAATAAAGGCTAGGCGACCACCTTCTGTGTGGAAGATGCAAAGTGTGCCTTGCCAGGTTGCTCAGAATTTTGACTACCATACCATTAGGAATATTGGCCTGTATAATCATGCCCCATAGGTGCTATACCGTATTGTTTAGGGAATAATGACAAGAAAAAACTTTGTGCATGTTCAGTATAATTTTTTTTCTCAAATGTTTTCTGTCCATGGATGCACCATGGATATGAGATGCTGGCTCAGAAGACCTTCCCCAAGACACAGAGATAGATACAGGAATGCTTAGGTACTGGCTATGGGAGAATTTACTGCCTAGAATCTTATGGCTCCATATTCTTCTTCTGTTGGTGACAGTATCTTTCTGTTATATAGCTCTGGCTGTCTTGGAATTCTATATGTAGACTAGTTTGGCTTTGAACTCACAGAAAACTATCTGCCTCTGCCTCCAGAGAGCTAGGGTTAAAGGTATGAACTATCAAGCCCTGCTTGGGCTCCATATTCTGTCCCTTCTCTCTCCCTACCCACTAGAATTATATTGTTCAATATCTGCTAAAGAACTTAATTTAGCCTGTCGTGGTGGCATCCACCTTTAATCCCAGCACTTGGGAGGCAGAAGCAAGTGGACCTCTGAGTTCCAGGCCAGTCTGGTCTACAAAGTGAGTTCCAGGACAGCCAGTAGCTACACAGAGAAACACTGTCTCCAAAAAACCAAAAAAACAGAACAAAAAAAATAATTCAACACCTGTGTATACACATACTTAACACATCTCTGCCCACACAGAGCAATACCTCTATAAGCATACGTATACATATGCATACTGCACAAAAGTGTACGCACACAGAGGACACAGCAAGCTACCAGTGTACCCTGAGTGGAGGTTAAGAGAGAGAGAGAGAGAGAGAGAGAGAGAGAGAGAGAGAGAGAGAGAGAGGTACAGAATTTAAAAACGACTCACTTTTTGCCATTTGGTGCAGTAGAGATGAATGAAGAGACTTTAGAATCATGTCTAGACTCATGTCTTCCAGCCTAAACTTCCCTGCCTCCAAAAACAAGAGAGAGGAGGAGGAGAAAAGGGGGTGGGACCACAAGGTGGGAGAAATAGAAATGGGGATTTTGCAAGCAGGCACTCCACCATGACAGGGCCATGGCAGAAAGGAAGTCGGGGATGGGAGGAGTCAGGAACTTACCCTGGCCTTCAGAGTCTGGTCACTGAAGTGGGCCATAGGGTACTTTTTGCTGCTCATCATGGGCACTTTAATCACAGAGTTTTTGTAGAGGAAAGGTGACTTCTGAGTTTTTTGCTCAAATGGTTTCTTCCATTTGGCTAAAGGAAGAAAGGGTGGCTGTAACATAGGTAGGGATAAAAAAGGCGCTAAAGACCCTGCTAGGGCAGGGTAGGACAGTCGCTGTGGAACTCTGAGCTGGTAGGATGTGAAGACATGATGGGATGGGAGGTAGAACCCCATGAGGCCCACTGCCTGCCTTACCGCTCAAGTAGACAGCATTCAGCAGGACAAGGCGGGTATCAGAGGGCAGGCTGTCCAGCAGCTGACTGATCTTGTGGTTGGTGTTCTCGGCCACCCAGGTGTTGATGAGTTCTAAGTTAGCATCACCGTCCAGGCTCAGGACTCTGGGGCTGCTTCCATACAGGGTCTGAGAGGCATTCACGTAGGTGTCCCTGATGGGTAGATCTGAGGGGCAGGACAGAAGAGTGAGTCCCCCGAACAATCCCACCCGCCTTCAAAGAGCCAGAGAGTGAACACACTTCTCATGTGTTTTCACTTCATTTGTGTTTCTGGAGACAGGGTCTTGCTACGGAGCTCTGGCTAGCCCAGAATTCAGGTAGACCAGACTGGAACTCACAGAGATCTGCCTGCCTCTGCCTCCTGTGCGCAGGGATTAAAGACCATCACATCTGGTGGGGTTCCCATGGTTCTTCCTGCTCACTCCAATGAACACGCCAGCATTTTACAAAAGCAGGGACCAGCCCACACCTCTACTGTATGCAAATGTATTCAATGCAAATCAGATTTAAGAAAACATCCCACACTAAGAACAGCAAAACTATTCCTAGGCACCCCTGCTGCTTCTGCTTGCAGGTGAGGCGAGCTTGGCTAGGCAGCCCCCTGTAAAGTAGCCTGCACCTGACTTGCCCCTTTCCGAAGGCTGTAGGAAGAGACCCTACTTTCAAGCCTCAGGGGAAGTTTATGATGAGACTTCCATACTCTTGCTCTCACCACCCAAGTCCACTGGAGAAAATATGAGTGCTTGGAAGAATAGACTGTTTCACTGGATAATTTCCCCAGGCTTGGCTGGTGCTTCACGCAGCCTAAGACCCAGAACCTTAGCAGAACTCTGGATGTGGGTGGACGGGATACAAGTAGCCCTAAAATATTGAATGTAGTGGAACTGTCCATAGCTGAACGGGACAAAAGACACCACTGGTCGGAAGTAGGTAAGGAATGCAGTATGTAGCAAAACCTCTGAATCATAGTTTTTTTTTTTTTCATATCAAAAAGATACATTTTAGTGCCAGGCATGGCGGAGCATGCTCTTAACCCAGAAACTTGGGAGGCAGAGGCATGAGGATCTCGGTGATGTCAAGGCCAGCATAGTTCACATGGGGAGGTCCAGCTAGCTATGACCACAGAGTGAGATCTTGTTGAGAGAGAGAAAGAGACAGGAGGGGGAATTGAGATTTGAGGCAACCTCTTTTCCTTTTTTCTTTATTTTTTCCTTCCCTGTATTTTCTCAGTTTTTTTTTATAACTATGGTTTTCATTGTGTGTGGGGGCGTGGTAAGGAAAGGAAAAGCCAAGCACAATATCACATGGCTATAATCTTGGCAACCTAGACCAGAGGATTGCCAAAACCTGAGTCTTTAATCCCATCACTCAAGGGCAGAGAGACAGGCTGATCTCTGTGAGTTTGAGGCCAGCCTGGTCTACAGAGCAAGTTCCAGGACAGCCAGGACTGTTACACAGAGAAATCCTGTCTTGGAAAAACAAAAACAAAAAACCTGAGGCTTCAGAGAGGGCAATCTCAGGAAATAAGTAAGCAGAGGAAGAGGGCTGGGAATGCAGCCCAGTGGTGGCGCTGGTACCACAAAGAAGAAGGGGAAAATGGGAGAAAACGCTTTCTTACAAAAGAAAGAAGGGAAAAGCACGCGAGAGAAAGTGGGCCACGTGTGATAGTGCAGAATTCCAGCACTCAGGAGGCTGAGGCCAGAGGAGAACCGGAGTTTGAAGCCAGCCTGGGCGACATAGCGAGACCCTATTTCAAACAACCAACACAAACCAGACAAACAAAAACCTAAAAGAGAGGCTTTAGACGAATTCTGTGATTTTTTTAACCTTTGGAAGTGAAGGGTGCCTCCCACCCCCACCAGCCATTCTGATGCTCCATCCCTACCCACTCCTGAGCAGCTCTGCAGAAATGGCCAGCTCGAGGGTCTCAGGCTTACGAGCAACTGCGTCAGATCATTTGTGAGGTTCCTTCTTACCATCTACTGATTTGATTATTTATTATTATATTATTTACTGGTATTATCTACCTAGCATAAACATGTAAATGATAACAAATTCATATAATACAAAAGTACTAAGGATGAATCAGAAGACACACTTGACCTAAAACTTAGCAAAAAGTATCTTTTTTTTTTTTTTTTTTGGTTTTTCGAGGCAGGGTTTCTCTGTAGCTTTGGAGCCTATCCTGGAACTAGCTCTGTAGACCAGGCTGGTCTCGAACTCACAGAGATCCGCCTGCCTCTGCCTCCCGAGTGCTGGGATTAAAGGCGTGCGCCACCATTGCCCGGCTCAAAAAGTATCTTTTGGTGACTTTCAGCTTCTAACCTCTAACCTCTAGCCCTGTTGTTAACAGATACACAGTATTTGAGTCTCACAGGTCTTGCTCCTGGAGCCATCTGAAACTCCTGTTGCTTCCCCATCACTCTTACCCATCCTCAGTACTGTCCTTCCTTCCCCTCCTCCAGACTCGAGCACACTCACCTGGGCTGTGGAAGATCTGCGACACAGAAGTGACACCTTTGGAGGAAAAGGCCTTCAGAGCCTGGTGGACACAGGCGAAGTCCTTGGGGTAGGAAAGGATGTCCTCCAGGTTGCTCTTGGTGCTATCTCCAGCCCCTACACCAAAGGACAGGGAGAGATAAGAGCTCTTGGGGGGAGGAACGAGAGACCTACTACTTGGGAATAGGGCTGTGGGCTGGCTAGAATGGAGGGTGTGTCCCGCCATGGTGGGGCTTCAGAGCATCAAACAGTACTCTGGAAGACTGGAAGACAGCGATGTGTCAGGAAGAGGGTGGTGGGCAGTGCTGAGTCGTCCTGCTAGGCTCTCCCACCTCCCCAGCTCCCCATCCCCCCGGCTTCAAACGTTCTCCTCCACTGGTCTCCACCATTGTAAGTCGCACGCACGCATCTTTCTGAGCACTGCTCCACACTAATCCTGACTTAGACGGTTTGGGTTTACAGAATCATCCTATAAGTAGAGGCCTTAGACCCCTGTTGTAAAAGAGGGTGGGTGTCCTTCATTATTAAACACCGTGCGTGTCTTCTCCATGGCAGCAGCCAAAACTTGTCAAGAGCCTTGCGTCTAGTCCAGGTGTTCTAATGCTTCTCTTATGTTATCTTATTAAGTTACCACCAAGCCTTTTACATAGATACTCACTTTCCTAGTATATAGAGGGGGCCTGAACTTTCAGAGATAGTGTTATTAATGCATTTAAGGTCCCAGAGCTAATAATAAGATAAATGCAGTATTGGAACTGAAATGAACAAAGTGGAACCAACAGACTATAAAGAACCCCCCAGAAGACTCTGAGGATGTCTGAGGACAGTCTTGCTGTCACACCTGGAGAGCCAGGTGCTACTAGCATCTTACCAGATACAGTGAGATGTTAGGATTTGGGGAAGTCAGGAGGAGGGATCTTGTATGTGCAATCTCTACGAGCATTACTGGAATTTTCTATGCTGGGCTGTGAGGGGTGTCATGTCTCTCTCTCTCCCAGGGAAATCACTCTCATGGTGGTAGAAGTTTTTTTTTTAATCTCCCAGGGAGTCAAGGCACCACCTCGTCTGAGTCTTGGTCTTTGAAGGGAGATCTCACCATCTCTACTTACTTAACTGTCAAGAACTCACACTCAAGAGCGCTTAAGTGAACTGCTCATGGCTGCACAGCCAGGAAATGCATGACCAGGACTCTCTCTCAGGTCTGCCTCCGATGACTTCATCTCCCTTATCAGCTTCCATTGCTTTGAACCACGATTGGGACCTTACTTTATATGTTGTTAATGAATCCACAGGCTTTTATAAGCAACAGGACCTTATTAAATCATTGTTAAATAAAGCAGCGTTCAAGAATGAAGACCTACCACCCCTGTCATGTAGCCCATTTTACAGCTTCTTCTCAGAGACACAGCCTCACAGAGGGGTGTGATTGGTGATCCCTAGGGGAGAGTCCCCCATACAGCCTGGATGGAAGCCAGAGTCTTACCGAGAAGGACCTGCGTCAGGAGGCTGGCGATGCTGAATGGGGAGAAGGCCATGTTGGTCTCAGCCTTCTTGGTGGATGAGAACGCGCTGTAGAGCTTCATGGAAAACTCTGTCAAAGCTTCCGCCAGTGTAGCCTCTGAGGACTTTATGTCTGAATCAGAACACTGAGCAAGTGGCTCTGAGCAGAAGGGTTTGGTGGGAGCCTGGGTAGGAGAATCCGTGGTTGTACATGGTTGACTGGAGAGATCCATGGGGGGCTGGCTGGAAGCATTCATGGGGGGCTGGCTGGAAGCATTCATGGGGGGCTGGCCAGAAGCATTCATGGGGGGCTGGTTGGGAGAATCCGTGGGTAGTTGTGCCATCGGTTGGGTGTTCTGGGTGGTGTCAGTTGTGTTTTTGGTTGGTGCATTGGTCGTTGGCCAGGTAGACTGTACTGTATGTTTACTCGAACTCCAGGGGCCATCTCTCTCAGGGACGATATCTTCGCTTTCCTCTTGAGTGACCAATGGGTCCTGGATGCTCTGGCTGGCAGCTTCTGAATCTGAGAAGGCTCTATCCTGTGGTTCAAGAAACAGGGTCTCATTTCTTAGTGAGCCACAGTTCCCTCAACCACTCCAGGCCTGAACACTGTGAGCACACAGTTGTTTTTGGTGTAGCCTGGCAGGTGAAGGGTTATTCCTTCAGAAATAGGCAATGCCAGGGGAATTCTCTGCAGGAAACATGGGGTAATTCCAATTTGGTTATCAAGTATTTGTGTTCAGTGACCACCATGCAAGAAGCTGTTTTCTTGTTTTGACTCACTTGCCAGGGTAGTATAGACATTTGCATTTGTGAGCCTTATTTTAGGACTGTGGATATTCAGAGTGGGTGTGGTATACCAGTGAGTATTGAAAACAATTAGTATACCAAAAGGAAAGGAAGAATTGTGGGAATTGGGTGCAACGGTGCAACCTGTAATCCCGGGCATCTAGGCGTTTGGGAGGTGCGCCAGGAGGATCTCCTTATGTGACAGTGTTTTTAGAAGTGGGAAGGAAAGTCTGCAAAATCCAGATCCCTTGCTCAATCGGACGTCAGGTGGTGACTCCCCAAGGTCACCCAGGATGCCAGCTTCCAGAATAACGTCCTGCTTATCCACGGGAAGCAAACACTCACTCTTTTCATGAGTTTACTTTTTATCCCTGCCCTCCTAGGCCACGTGGGCCACGGTGCTCTTGACCTTGGCGCCAGCGCACGTCTGTCTGCCAGCCTTCTTCTTGCACCCCACTTTCTACAGACCCAGACCTGGAAGAGCCTGTCACAGCATCAAAGAGGGGGCAGGTTGTAACTTGGGTCTCGTCTTGCCTCCTTTGACCCCACCAAGCTTGGATGGTGGGCTGGGTGGAGTCTATGTATTCTGCCATTTATACATTGGGTTAAGGAAGCTTGGAGAAGGGTCCGGCCTAAGGTCATCCAGCTTGTGTATCTTCTAATATAGAATTCAAGTCCCTCCTCCTACGGTGGTAGGGCTAGGCTCGAACTTAATCCCAGGAGGAGCTTCCCTCCCTCCCCAGGGCCCAAAGGGGGTTACTCCTCCCCCCGCGCCCCTCGGAGGGACCACTTACCCCAGCCAGCAGCAGCAGCAGCAGGAGGGTCAGAGGGGTCAGCCTGGAGGCCATCTGGGCAGCGACGTCAGCTGCGACCTGTGAAGCCAGTTAGCCTCAGAGGCAGCCGTGAGCCTAGGAGCTCAGGGGGTTCAACCCATCCCCAGGCCCGCCCCCATTCCATTCCAGGCCTCGACCCTTCTTGGTGTGCTCCCGCCTCCTCCCTCTGGGGCCACCTTCTCCCTGGCTCCGCCCTCTGTTTTGTTTTCCCCAAACCGCTTCCCTTTCCCGGCACCGGCTGGCCCTTCTCTCCCTTCACGCCCAGGTCCCAGCCCATCTGTTCAATCTCCAGGGTCCCGGGTCCCGCTTAACTAAACAATAAGCCAGGGGCAGCCGAGAGGAGGGCCAGGGCGAGCTGGGCAGCTCAGCTTTGAGGGAAGAGGAGGCAGAAGGCTCAAGGGGAAGCAAGCCTATGGAAATTGCAGCGATAACAAACAGGGGGCTAGAAAGTAGGGGAGAGGGAGGCTGGAGACCACCCTGTCAAGCCCTCTTGACTTTGTGTTCCTCCCCCAAAGGTCCCGTTACAAAACCTGGTCCAAGTTCTTGGTCGCTAGGCAGCTTCAGGGCAGACTGAGTGGACAGTCGCAGAAGGTCAGTGAGGGTGGGGTGTCGGGGGGCAGTCTCAGCTATTGGCTGGTTCAGGACACTGCCCCGTTAAAAATTAAGGATGATTGATCACTAGTGCGAGACTGCGAGTTCCCGTAAATCAGGATGGGAAAGGCCTGGGACAGTCTGGGTCTGGCACTGTGGGCCAGGCTAGTAGTTTAGCCTGATCTCCCCTCGGGAGTAGGATGAGATGGGAGGAGTGGGGAAGCTTAGTGCAGCTCACAGGGGTGCAAAACTACCGCGCTCCTGTGTTCCATGGAGCAAGATAAAAAAGCAGAAGAAATGCAAAACTTGTCCCGCATTTCACAAGAGATGAGTTTTTGTTTGTTTGTTTGTTGTTTTGTTTTGGGTAAATGGACAAGGTAACTCTGGAAATAGGCCATTTGATAGTTAAGACATCAAGTCTTAGAAGCAGTTAATGTCAGACCTTTCCATTGCCGTCGTTTGGAGATATGCCAGGCTTGGGCTTAAGTGTCCTAAAGAACCAGCTGCGGCCTCCTCCCTATCCGTTTACATCATGAGTCGTTCTAAGTTTGAGAGCTAGGAGTCTGAGGCTCCTAGCTGAGCCCGGGTTTCAGTCCCTAGCGCCACAACAAAGCGAAACAATCACAGAAACCGACCACTCAAACACAGTGACAATCCCAAACCAGCAAACAAAAATCAAATCCTGACCTGTATGTATTTATGGTTGGTTTGTCACAATAAGCCGGTTTTGTGAGTCCCTGGCAAGGAGGAACCCAGTTAAATATAAATTCTAAGTAAATCCTATGCAATCTTGGAATATGCTTATTTTCACCATTGTTGTGTATCTAAAATTTAAATTTGACCGTATTTCATATGCTGAGTCTGGCAGTCCTATGTCCTCTGCAGAGCAAGGCTGCTCTCTCTGGTAACATGATATAGATATGAAGTTCTGTGATTGTCTAGCTACAGGCCTGACCCCTACCTGGGTTTGCCTTCTTTAGGAAAGTCTGTGGTGGGCATTAGATCTGATGCTCGAAGAAAGTCGAAAGACAGGAGCAGGAGAGTGGAGCACTCACATGGCTCCCAAGGGACCTTAGAAAAGACCTCGAGTTTGACCTGGCTCTGCGCTTCATTTTCTTGGGGTGCTCCTAAACCTTAAAGAAGTTCCATAATATAAGTGCCATCCTTTGAACCGTTTCCTGCAAAATTCAAGCTGTCGTTATTTTTTTCTGCTGTGTAGTACTCCATTGTGTAAATGTACCACATTTTTCTTATCCATTCTTCAATTGAGGAGTATTTATGTTGTTTCCAGGTTCTGGCTATGACAAACAAAGCTGCTATGAACATAGTTGAGCACATGTCCTTGTGGCACAATTGAGCATTCTTTGGATATATATCCAAAAGTGCTATTGCTAGGTCTTGAGGAAGGTTGTTTCCTAATATTCTGAGAAATTACCACACTGACATCCAAAGGGGTTGTACGAGCTTTCATTCCCACCAGCGACGCAGAAGTGTTCCCTTTTCCCCACAACCTCTCCAGCATAAGTTGTCATCAGTGTTTTTGATCTTGGCCATTCTTACAGGTGTAAGATGGAACTCAGAGTTGTTTTGATTTGCATTTCTCTGATGACTAAGGATTTTGAACATTTTCTTAAGTGTCTTTCATCCATTTTAGATTCCTCTGTTGAGAGTTCTCTGTTTAGGTCTGTACTCCATTTTTTTTTAATTGAATTATGTGATCTTTTGGTGTCCAATTTCTTGAGTTCTTTGTAGATTTTGGAGAGCAGACCCCTGTCTGATGTGGGGTTAGTGAGGATCTTTTCCCATTCTGTAGGCTGTCGTTTTGTCTTGTTGAATCTGGTCACTGTTAATTAAAAGTAACAGATATACACAGCTAGTAAGAGTCAAGGGCAAGTGTCGACCACATCTGGCTGGTGAAATCCTTGGAGTTACTAGCCCATGCTAGGGCCTGCTATAGCAGTCAGAGATCCTGGGGTCACTTCTGATGCCCCAACACTTCCTGGCTGAAGTTACAGTGGAGAAGCAGAGAGGTTTTCTCTGGTTGCAGATCTCTTTCCTGGAATATTTTGGCCACCACTGTCTGTGTACCCTGGGTGTTCACGGGGTTTCTGCTTTGCAGCCGTGTTCTTGTCTGATGAAGCAGGAGCTGCAGCTGACTAAGTCACCATGTTCACAGAATTTCTTCCTAGTGTGGACGAGCATTTATCCAGCTGGTGTAAAGTTGTGACTTCGGTCCTTCCCTACAGGAGGCAGGTGTTGATGCTTTCCGTACTTGTCTGTGCTTTGTATGACGGAGCTTTGTCTCTGATTTCCTACCACACACTCCTTCTGTGGAAGCCGCGGTGTTGACAGCCACAAGTAAAAGTCTGATGTGGGTTCCTGGTGTCACTGTCACCACAGATGATATCTGCACTTAGTACTTTTATGCACCACTCTCTCCGCACATGGGTGTTTTCCTCCGTAGCTCCACAGAGACTGAGCCTGGAACCCTTACCCCTGAGTGCTCATCCACAACCCTCCTGCTAAACCTCCTATTCTTTTCTTCTGGGCAGTCTCCAGCTGGTACCAAGAGGTGGACAGAGACGAGGAGTGAAGACTGGAAATTAGATCCAAATATTTGTAGAGACACAAACTTTCCAATCCTGAAAGCCCCAAAGGACCTTGTTTGTAGCACCAAACCTTTCAGAGTAGAAGAGAAGCCTTTGATGACTCCCTGTATGGACATTCTGCATTGGTCCATTCATTTATCTAAGGGTACTTTAGTCTTTCAAAGTTATCAGCACAGTATCATGTATGTGCCTTGTAAGACTTCAAACAAGCCAGACATTTACAAAATTAAGTCACTGCAGATGCCCTTTAACCACTCCAAGTGTGTTCTTCCAGGATTTCTCAATGTGGGGTTCCCCTCTGTGTGCTGTGAATACCATTGTTTTAGTCTTTGTTGTAGAATAACCGTTTTGTACACTATGAAGATGTGTCTTTGTTAAGGCACCTTCTGATAATTTAATAAAGAGCTGAACAACCCATAGCTAGGTAAGAGGGGAGAGATAGGTGGGATTTCCTGAAGAGAGAGGAACTCTGAAGAAGAATCTGAGAGGTGGGGAATTTGCCAGTGAGATATGGAGGAAGTCGATGTACAATACTATGGAGAGGTAACTGGGCATGTGGCAGAATGCAGATTAATGTAAACAGGCTAATAAAAGTTTGCTCTTTTAAAAACAGGGAATGCGTCACAGATTTGCGTGTGATCCTTGTGCAGGGGCCATCCTCATCTTCTCTGTATCGTTCAAACCTAGTGTGTGTGCTGCCGAAGCAAGCACACTAATTTAAGCTTTAAGAGCTAGATGGGAACAAGCCTAAGCTAAGGACGAACCTTTATACTTAATAACAAGTCTCTGTATCATTATTTGGGAGCTGGTAGTCCAAAGAAGGTCTGACTATACTTTGTATTTATTTTCTATAGTTGTGATAAAACACAACAATCAATTCAGTTTATAGTTGTATACCCCCTTGCCTGACTCATGAGCTTATTTTTGAAACTAAGCATGTTTGTGGAATCACTTAAAAATTGTTTTATTTTCTGGTGAATTGTGTTGTAGGACACATGTTGAGGTGACATCTGTTGGGGTTCAGCCTCGACAGAATTCACACATTTCAGGGTAGGAGCGTGAGGATTAGAATTATTAAGCAAAAGGAACAGAGATAGGAGAGAAATACGAGACAGAGACACAGAACAACATGGGGAGGGAAGTCCAGTGAATACAGAGTTTATCTTCCACATGCTTACACACTCCACTCCAAACGGGACTTCATTTACACGACAGACTTGGTTTCTCCAACCCTTGGTCAAGGTGGAGCGGATCCACCTCTATACCCAAAATACTAATTAGCCACACCTTAGATCAGGATCTCTTGTTTGTAGCCACACCTGTTGGGAACAAACTCTCCGACCTTTAGTCAATGTGGAGCAGACTCACATCTGAGGGCCCTGGCAGAAACCGTGCTGCGATGGCTGTCTAGAGCCTTCAACTTTCCATCATTTAAAACTACTTACGGGGAAATACAGTTCAGAAAGAAAATTCCATGGGAATGAACATACGGTTTAATCAAAACGATAAAGGTGACGTCCGTGAGCCCTTACTCTGACTAACGAGCAGGATGTCATCAACACTCCAGCAGTTCCTGTCAGTCACCATGTCCAGCGCTGTAGGCCACCACCATCCTAATGCTATTGTGAATATCCTCCTTCTTCTTTCCTGCCTCTTTCTCTCTTCTCCCCCCCCCCCCCGCATGGTGATGGAGATTAAATCCAGGGTCTGTGTGGTAGACAATCACGCCACCACTGATTTACATTTCCAGCCTTGGATGTTTGTGGCAAAGTCGTCTGCAGTAACCCTGGTTGGTCCTCAGACTGACTGACCGTCAACTCAGGTTGACCTTGAAGTGATTCTCTTCCTCTCCCCCACGCCGAGAGCACAGGCAGACACCACTACGGGCGGGTTTGGCCCTTGAGTTTTTTTCAGACAGGATCTCTCTATGTAGGCAGGCTGGCCTCAACCTCTCAAGCCTCCTGCTATTGACTCCTAAACGTTGGACTTACAGGACTGCACCATTGTGCCCAGTTTATGCGGTGCCAGGAACCAAATTCAGGGCTCTATAAACGCTAAACAAGTACTGTCCACTGAGTTATACCCCCAGCCTTCGCTTTGAGGTTTGTACCACAACGTGCATTCCTAGATATCTGATTCCTTTCACCGAAAAACTACACATTAGTACATGCGTGTTCATGTGCATACATGTGTGTGGGTGGACACACAACTTCAGGTCGTGTTCCTAAGGAACCATGCTCCCTTCCCTGCCAGCCTGGAGCTCTCTGGCTAAGCCGCCTGACCAGTGAGCTCTGTGACCGCCATGACCCTTCCTCCTTAGTGCATGTGCCTCCAGACGGGGTTTGCTCTTAAGTTGTTTTCTCACTTTTCTTTTTAAAAATTAATTAAAAAAAAAAACATGTGTGCATGCATGTGCATGCTTTTGTGTGTGTGTGTGCGCACACGTGCGTATGCTTGCAGAGATCAGAAAAGTGCACCAGCATCTCCTTGGACTGGAGCTACAGGGATGAACTGCCCAACATGAATGCTGGGGACCAAATTTGGGACTTGGGTGCTGAGGACAGCTTTAGGGAGTTAATTCTCTTCTTCCAGGCAAATCTTGGGGAACAAACTCCGGTCATCAGTCTTGGCAGCAAGTTCCTTTACCCCACTGATCCATAACTGGCCCCATGCCCGTCTTCTAAAAAGTCAGGCCCTCATGTTGGTGAGGCAATCACTTTACCAACCGAGCCATCTCCCTAGCCTGGCTGTCTTAAAAAAAAAAATCAGCGATTACGGCATGTGGCTGTGGCTTATTTTCATTTCTGCATAGTTTGCAGCTACATTTCTTCTTTTTAGCTCTGAAAAAGTGGAGTCTCCCTATGTTTCTCAGGCTGGCCCTCAGCTTCTGTGCTCAGTCAGTCCGCCTGCTTCATCTTCCTGTGGGTCGCTGGGATGAAACTACCTTGGAGCTGGGCTGTGGATGCACGCCTACACCTTGTTAGCTTTCAGTCATCTCAGCGTTCTGCAATTTTATCTCTTCTCCCGCTGACAGATATTTGGGTTGCTGGCAGGTGCAGCCTGTTTTGCACAGTGCTACTCTGGACGTAACTGTCTTCAGTCTGTTTCTTTGGGGCTTGCCCACAGGAGCATCATGGCTAAGAGATGGTGCGTAGCATCAGCTCCACTGACATCTCCAACGTTTACCAGTTTACAAAGCGGTGTGATCATTCTTTTTATTTTTCCCTTCCCTTCCTTTCTGTATTGTCTCAGGCCGGCCTTGAACCCTTGATTTTCCTGCCTCTGCTCACCAAGGGCTAGGATATTTGTAGTCTATCACAACTCCCAGCCAAATTTGTTCGTAGTTTGAGATCTCTTTCAAGGCAGGATTTCTCTGTGTAGCCCTGGGTGTCGAGCTACTCTCAAATGGAGATTTTCCCGTTCCAGCCTTTCCAGTGCTGGGCTTACCGCTATATGCCACTACAGCTGGTATTAGCAATGGTGCATTTTATATATTCACTTGGTTGTGACTGTGTTCTGCTATTTGGTCAAGCATTCTAGAGGAGTCTATCAGGGTGATTTAATATATATATATATATATATATTTATATATTTATTTATTTATTTATT